TTAGATTTGCAAATATTCTGCAGCAGTGATTACAAAGCCAGTGACTGTCTGCTGAAAGGCTGGTAGTTTGTGTAATTGCTTTACAAGGCATTTAGAATATGTGGTAAGTGGAATGAAAATATACACGTATTACCAGAGCAAACCCTACTCCAACCCATAAAAAGCCCTTCACGTTAATCACTGTCACAAAGAACTTAGAATCACTAATATTCTTGGGCACTGAGCAGAAGTCCCTGTCTGAGCTGTTTTTGTCAGAGTGGTGCTCATGAAACATTCAGTAAGTAACAGCGATAGCAAGATGTCTTCCATTTGAATAGCAATGTGATCCATTTTGGGTTTTACAAACTGTTGTGCTTAAGCCAATCCCAGTGGCAGTTTATTTCTTACATGCTCCTGTTTTTTGAATGTATTTGCACTGACATGCACAGAGAATTGAAGTGAGATTTAAAAATACCTAATGCGTATTTGTTTTGTTTCATCATAACCATCGGTCCCAGGATTCCTCACTTAAAATAACTTTCTCGGTTCATACAGGAAGATGGGGGAGTAGTGCTGGGGCTGTTTCTGGAATGTTTTTACTAAGCCCTGACCCTCCGTTCCATTTTTAGCGCTGTAGAGATAGAGCTAAAAATGACAAGGATAGAAACGACAACACTCGCTCAATTTCAAAACCTTTTCCTTCCACATTTGTATCTGGCTTACGAATGTACCACAGCACCCAAAAAGCTACAGAGAACTGTCATGAGGCATCTACAGTGTAACAGCTGAAAGACCCAGAAAAGAATGCTGCCTGTCTGAATGGATTGTTCTGAGTTATCAGTCACGCAAAATGGGTTTTGTATTTAACATGACATTATTGTCATTTGCTTGTTGCTTGATTTCTCTGTGCAATGCCATGTGTAACTACCCTCCCCACCCAACGCACTGTACAGCATAGTGGCTCAGTCTCTGCATTTATAACTGGTGGTTGTTTGGGATGGAGCCTCTGCTGTCCAGCAAGGTACTCAACTGTACCTTGAGTGCAGTTCTTTACCCCAGCTGCTCCAGTCCACCCAGCTGTGTTCAGTAAGTGAACACAGCATTGCTGGGGGATCTCCTGTGATGGACCAGCAGCCCGTCCAGTTGGCCAGCCATAGAAACCAGAGCTCTGGCCCCATGAGCTGGTGATATAAAATTATCTAACGACTGTAATTGTAACATCTAATAAGAGGAAACGTTGGTGAGGCGAGTTTTTTTTCATTGGTGAAACACTTGTTTTGGAATTTTATCTGCAGCTCATTTTCAAAAAGCAAAATAAAGGGCAGTGTTCCTTCTGAACACTGTGCTGTTTCCGAAAGCTGCCCCCGTGTTTTCGGTCTCGTACTGTGCAGTGGGGTCGTGGTGTTGCGCTCTGACAACAGTGATACCCCCTCTGTAGCCTGACTTGCTCCAATCCCCAATGTTAAGCAAGGCTGGCCCTGGTCTGTACTGGGATGGGTGACTTTCATGTTGCTGCAGTAAGGGGTGTGGGCGAATCTGTAGTGGGGCTCTTTTCTCTGGACAGGATTTTCCAAATCAAAGCCAGAACATGGTGACCAGCATGGGAGGTGGCTAAATGATACTATTTCGGCTTCCTAAACCTCCCTCTTAGTTCAAGCGGTGTAGTCATTCCTCCCCCTTCCATCTGATAAATCGTGTAGTGAGGCTACTGGTACTGTGTGGCTGCAGAAGGGTGCATTTCAGTGGCAGGTGAAGTAGACTGTCTTATACAATATATGTGGAGCCCTTTTTCAATCACTGTGATGAAGAGCACTATACAAATGTAGGCTATTACTACTTATAGGGATCCTTGTGGTATTGGTGTTCTTTAATTTGAAAACAATGAAGTCAAAACTATTCCTGGATTATTTTGTGTGAAGCCGGTTTCAAAGTAAAGCAAAACAGAAATAACATCCTGTGTATCTAGCAATGGTTAAGTGCCAAGGAGACGATAACATCCCATGATGCCATGCAGTATTATTGTTTTCTGCAAGAAAATAAAATTAGAAAATTTCCAAACAAGTACAGTACTGGCCATTAGGCCCTTCAGTCCCATTCAGTAATGTGTGAAAAAATAAGGCAAGAAGTGATAAAGAAGATGAAAATGACAGGGTTTTAATAAAAGAAAATCAAATTGCAGCTTCACAGGCAAAATATCTTATGCTACACAATATTCTTTTTGTGATTAAAATACTTAACAGGATTTCTCCAACATTGAAGGTTGAAATTGAAAACAAACATGACTTTTTTTTGTACAGATAGTGATGGAAAACCTGCAGTTCTGATTCACTGTGATTCATGCCTTAAGAAACTGTTGTCATGTAACACGTAACCAATGGTATCAAAGTAATGTGGAGAATCATGGAAATTCAGACAAACATCTGAAGGCAAAGCAGTGCATTTCAGAGTCACTAAGCTAAAGAGCTTTTTAAAGTAAATTCTCAACATGTACAGTATGTGCAGTGAAATAGCACAGTCAGAGTTTTCTCCCTTGCCTACATAACTAAATTATGGAGTCTGGGCTGGTCTCACAGGAGGCTCTGACGGAGATCTTGAATTGTATCCTGGGTACTGAAGATGACCCAGTAACCCAGTGATTCCTCTTCCATGCATTGTAGCTGAATTATATTCTTGAATAACCCAGCAGTTTTTACGCTGCAGTGATCTGCAGTGATTTTCAGGCATGAGATTCTTGGAAAGTTGGTGTGGAAGAATGTTTTAAATTGAACTTATAGCAAAGAGCTTTTTTTAATTGTTTGCGGTGAAGGCCACAACATACAGATTATCACGTAATTTGCAGTATAATTAAAAAAATCTATAAAAGGGGAGCACATCGTACTGCATAAGAGTAAGTGCAATTTTGTAACACTTCCGCAACTTAACTTTACTTAAACGTTTGTTGGACAACTGTTCTGTCCATTTCAGGTTTTTTTAACTTCAGACTCTGACAGTACAAAGGCAAACTCCTTTTTTTCTCATTTACAAAAGGCCAAGTTTACTTTTCTGAGGACCACAAATCCATGAATGAGTTGTTTGTTCACAGGCTGATCACAAACGCCCTGGTCAACCCTACCGATATCTGTGTTTGTTATTCACATGTCCAAGGTCTTCCCTGTACATAACGAATTGGGTTGCCGTTAATGTGTCACTGAGTCACAATTAATTATTACTATGTACCGTCATTAATTAAGAATGTGATGGATTGAGCTGTATATCCTAATCTCCTCTGCACCTACATGTAGGCAGCTCCAGCAGTAAAGGTGCCCATTGGACTCCATAGTCTATGCATCATAGAAGAAAGTCTTGGGCTTTGCTGTTAACTGATTGTAACTGGCAAGTGCTTTGCTTAGGTGGCACAGACTCCCCTGGGACCCTAAATCCCTAGGGCATGCCTGATACCTGTTAACCAGAGAGGGTATTAGTGATACTGCATCTGACCTCTCTCTAGTTGTCTTACTGGTGCCTTGGGCTTTCTGAATGACTACGAGCTGAGTGATCTGGCAGGAGCCTGCCTGGCAGTGCTGATGTCCTTGCGTCTTTGTGTCTTCTGTGCAAGAGCAGGGGCTGGTGAGGAGAGCAACGTCTGGAAAGTCCTGCCAGACCAGATAATTACTGTAGAGCGATAAAAAGAGTTTTAAAAATACCATTTTGATAAATGCAATCCGAAACTGTATGTGTTATCCCGGAGCGTTAAAGAATCAGTTCTTTTGAAGAGTCAAAATGGCAAAATTATGGAAATTGATAGGCTATTTAAAGCATATTAGCAACATTTGAATTCCAAAATGTGCTCTTTTAATGAGATGTGGCCAATAGATAATGAAATAAGTTACACCTATGGTGTGCACACTGTAATTAATGTCTTGATTTTTAATTATCTTCTTAATCATTCTCTAATGAGACATTGTCTAGAGTACACAGACATTTTGTAAAACCTAGTCTAAGTACCTGTACTAAGGTAAAGAGTGATATACAGCACTGCAACATTTTAACTACAGTACATGTGAAAATACTCTGCATCAGAATATTGGACGACTGAGGAAATAATGTGGATTCCTTTTGGACAGCAGCAGAGCACCAAGGCAAAATGCTGTTTTTGAATAAAATTGCACTCAGCTGTTACTCTCTGCCCAATCCACTACCACACTCTATTCTTAGCCCAGAGTACTATAAATGTAATGAACCATAAACAGCTGCTTTCTGCGCCATGCAATGGCTCTAAAATTTATTTGCATTTTCCCAGTCACCCTGGCCTCATTAAATTGCAGGGAACTACTTAATGTTAAGCTTATCCGCACTGCTGTTCCATATAGAGATTTATTAATGAGCGCTGACTCTCTTCAGATCCTTCGCCCCGAACATCAACAAAGGCCCCTTAAACACTTCAGTGTTCACTGTCGCAGACAGCCTCTCCCCCCTTCCCATCCCCCTGGAGTCCCTCAAGCCCCTGGAATCTAAATGTTTACTTCAGTATCCCATTATGGTCTCAACGGCATCTCTTTATTTAGTTGATAGCATGTGCCTGTCCAGTATATAGCAGCTTGGAATGAAACCGTCCCTTTAAGACTGATCGCTTGTGATGAGCACGGAGCTCCTGCCACATTAACGAGCAGCCTTGGTCCCAGAGGACATATGAGTGAGTGGGGGACCAGGCCAAGCTCGAAGTGTGGCGTGCTTGTCCTTCGTACAGGGCCTGATGCAGACGACTGTGCAACTATCTGTGAGGATGGGCAGCTCAGACTGGTGAAAATGCACAGCATGCAACAAAACCTTCTGGGTCCCACACACATCCCACATTTCAAGAAAAACCTACAGTAGTTTCACTCTGACGTTCTTTATGCACAGTGCTCATAAGCGAACATCTTCCAGGTTATTTTCCGCAGTGAACTTGCTCCTGGGAAATCCTTTTTCACGCACCTCTCTGCCTCTCTCTCTCTCTCTCTCTCTCCCCTCCTCCTCTCCGCATCGGCGTTCCCTGTGGGCAGTACCCCCGAGGCGACGCCCCAGGCCCTCTCCAGTTACAGCGTGGTGGAGCGGATCGTTCTGATCACCTTCCTGTCGCTGGTGATGCTCATGACCGTGCTGGGGAACCTGCTGGTCATGGTGGCTGTCTGCAAGGACCGGCAGCTCAGGTCAGTGGAACCTCCCTGGGGCACTTTGCCATGCGGAAACTTCCAAAGACAGCCGGACGTTGCCTTCGCTTCTGTACGGCAGCTTACAAGGCTTACAGAATCTGTTGAACAAAACCTAATACGCATGTAAAAAGTGCAGTTTCAATAAGTGAAAATCTCAAGGATGGAGGTATGGGAATCGATTACACAGGAGAATTACACAATACAGTCAATCCTTTAAAATAAAGGACTAGGTTGTGTGTTTTGCTCCTGATTGGATTTAATTCTGGTAAAGCTGTACTTTTGCTTTTGCATTAAGTGATCACGTGCTTTGTTCTTTTCCTGTTTTATTTGAGTGTGTTTCCATTGAGAATTAGCATGGTGTTCCAAAGATGATGACAGTTTTAACAGGAAGTTCCAAAGTTTTACTATTGGAAATCAATGGTACTGTCATTTGCTGTAACAGCATATCAAAAGCCAGTCAGACCATGCTAACCCATAGACAGGAAAGGTGATGACCTCTTTGAGCTGTAAGAAAAAAATAAACACATGAACAAGTTCTTAATTACACAGTAAAATTTCAGGAAGAAATGCCAATACTGGGGTATAATAAACAGGCTTCAAAATACAGTAGTTAAAACTGTTGTAAAATGCCATACAGGATGCTCGGAGCAGCCTCAATTTTAATATCAGTCGTTTTTAATGAGCCAGGGTGTTTTTACAGTCTATTTCAGCATTATATTGAGAGCCTGCCAGAAGGCTTTCAAAATAACTTTCCTTACGTTTTCCCCTTTTTCATTCATCTTTTCAGTGTTTTCTTCGCAAAACAGATACAAAAAGTCTTTTCTCGTGCATTCGGTCCTTTATCTGTATCACGAGAATGCACTTCAGTTTTACTACTCTTGACAGGCAGAGATATTGAGTACAAGAAAGATGCGTCACAGCACAGCCTCTGTGAGCTGTTTCATTCAGAAATTGTTTTTGGGATCCATTAACTTTCTACTCTAGGCACCAGGAGTTCAAATTGTAGAGTCATGGCAGCTTGCAAAACAGGAACACCAGAGCACTCTAATTCAGATGAATAGCCCCAATTAAAAAAGCTCTGAATCTTATCTGTCTCTTGCAGACTGTTAAAAAAGGCTTCATAGAAATAATGGATTATTTCTATCCTCTTGTTCCCTAGACCCACGTACACACGCAGTCCCGGTGCGCTGAGGTCGTTGCTGTTAAATCTTTTTTTTTCTTGAAACACTGAAGGCCTATCCCAAGTCCCCACTTGTCTTTTGTGTATATTCTGTTTGGCCTGGCTGGCTTTCAAGGCACGGGGTTGTTTATTCTGCAAACGTTTTCTTTTGTTATTTGCATTTGTAGTCGAGGTTGTCAATTAGAAGAGACCCAGGGAACCACCACATTTTGCCTCCACATGCTGCGTATAATTTGACATGGAATGGAGTATATTTTAGAAGAAAGGAAAAGGAGAAATGAAGTCAAATGTAATTTCATTTTATTTGCTATAGTGCTCCTCTCAACACTTTACCACACAGCACTTTACAGATTTCTGTAGGGCATACATAAGGAGACTGGATATTATGTGCCACAGAAAATAAGTCAGTTCAGCAACAGAAACCTCTGGGGATCCTAGGCCCAACGGTTGCTCCCCTCTCTCTGGACAATGGGCTTGAGGTACATGAATTAGATCAGATCATGAACAGTCTGTGCAAAGTCCTGCCATGCTGGGTCTGTTGCCTGGGTAGCTAAGGTCTCCCAGGTCTTGAGTTTCAGGTTTTGATGTACACACATGCAGTGCAGAGAGCACACTGTTTTTTTTTTTTTTTTTGTGGCAGGACATTTTTCTATTTTATTAAAATGACTTCAAAGACGCTCAAATATAAACAGTATTCACTCAGCCTGAGACAAAATAGCTAATCCCTCACTCTGGATGTCATGTAATATTTCTCTTTAATGTTGGATACTAGACTATATCATGTGACAGGGCAGTTGTTCCTTAACATGCAGCACAGAGAGTCAAACTGGATACTGTCAGTAGCACCTTAAATACGTGGTTCACACAGTGGCCCAAAGTTCCTTTGTTCTGGTTCCTGCAAACTACTGGATTTCATTATGGAGTGTCTCAATTCCTTTTTTTAATAAAGTAATCTGCGATTAAAAGTTAATGTTAAAACATTTTTAATTCCTTCATTGAAGAAGATACTTTTTTTTTCTTTTTGATGATTCATTGGATGATTTTTATTTGTAGCTACTTAATGGAAAGTCTTTTAGACGCATTGATTGAGCATCCACTGGTCTGCGGAGTCTCAAGCAGAGACCAGAAATCACATCAATAAATAACACCAGCCTGTTGGCTGGAAGCCTGGAGTTACTGAAACACTTACTCAGCCTGTTGGATGTTTGCAGTGCAGCTTTTCAAAGATGTGCACTACTGTTTTCTAACTCTGTCCAAATCAGACTCCAACTCCAAATCAAAAGGCATCTTCTTTTCCAAAACTGGCTCAATGAGGGATTGATGTTTTGATTGATGTTGATGATGACAATTTCCTCTTGTTCTCAGATACAGCTGAGTCTGACCAAACTTACTGCTTCGAACCAGCAGAATTAGAAAGGAGATTGCATACTGTTGACCATGCTGGTTTTTGCGAGACATAAATGTGTTTGGATCAGTGGAAACATGGATGCTGTGAAGAAAATACAGCAAAAACGTTTTGTGGAGGCCATTTCAGGACAGCAGATCAATAAATGATGAATATGATACATGTACTGTATACTGTCTGTACTGACACAAGTGCAGTGATGGAAAATGGGATCAATAGCATCACAAGCTGTAAGTCACTGCAGTCTCACAGTAGTACACAGGGTAATGATTAGTCTTCAGGTAGAAACCTCCACCATGATGCTGGCTGTTATCTCCATTTGGACTCAAAATCCCGCTGCCTCAGTGGGCGACTTCAATCCTCTGTTCGTGTGCTTGGCTTGTTTTTCAGGAAAATCAAGACAAACTATTTCATCGTGTCGCTGGCGTTTGCAGACCTGCTGGTTTCGGTGCTGGTGATGCCATTTGGTGCCATTGAGCTGATCCACCAGAACTGGATCTACGGGGAGACGTTCTGTCTGGTGCGGACCTCTCTGGATGTGCTGCTGACCACTGCCTCCATCCTGCACCTGTGCTGCATCTCCCTGGACAGGTCAGGACCTGGAGCTGTGTGGGATCTGGGGTAGAGTAGAGGAGTGTATTGCCATATACACATGTACATTGGATGTCTGATTCGTGTTGATCTCTCAGGACAGAGAACAGTACAGCAGACGTCTCAGTACAACAGACAACACCACACAATGTAGACAATTTACATTACAAAGTGGTACATAATACATAGCAACAACCAGAGAACTAAACATGTGGTAGTGAAAAGAAATTGGTAGTCCGAGTCAAACGTGCAGAGTACAGAGATGCATTGAGTTGTGAGGCATTGCACAGTTAGCTGTTAAGGATGCGCAGTGCTGTGTGGTAGAAAGGTAGCTGACTACTGTACAGTGTGTCAGTTACAATACATCAGTGATCAGCATAGACTGAAACAAGCCTCACGGCAACACTGTGTGTGCAAGAGGAGCTCATTCTTTAGAGTGAGGAGGAGGAGACTGGGTCATTATGAGCTGATGCTTGTAGAATAGGTTACTAACGACCTCAATTTCCCTTTGGGATCAATAGAGTCTTATCTTATCTTAATAACCATCACATATTCCCACATATTTCTGCAACTGACTGCTGTTTTTATTCTTTTCACTGTTAGAATCCTGACAAGAATTGCAACTTGCATTGCAACCTGCACAATAGTGTAATCATGAGGCCTGCTGTTTCAAAGACATGTTGCTCTTTAGTGACACCAGGGTTTGCAGAGTCATCTTCCTGTAGCCCACGAAACACTTCTGATAAGACAGAAGACACCAAGGATACACGCCTGCACGGCACGTAAGCTGGCTACACTGAGAGTCCCTGTGTTGTACTCCATAAATGTAAAGGCTGTCAGGATGGGACCGATGGCAATTACAGCCATGCAACTTACACAGCTGTAGCAATACTTGTTGATTTACTGTACACTGTTTTTATGATTAGCCAATTAACATACCAGTATGTCTTTTGACTGTGGGAAGACACCAGAGCACTGAAGGAAACCCACGCAATACAGTAGCATTAGTATCTAGTAAACCAGAGGCGTGCTGGCAGTTGTGTGATTATGCAGTATAAAGATAATGCTTTGGTTAATTTGCAGGTATTAAATATTTCTGACTGTGTTCTAGACATTATGTCGTGCCCTATATCCCACACTCCTCAAGTTCAGGATATTGGTTCTTTGAGTAAACATTCTTTTTGCAGGATGCTAAATGGAGTTTAAAACTGAGGGGTCTGAGGTTTAAGTTTTCTTTCTGTGATTCTGAATTTTCTTCATGAACACCACCAGAATGCTGGCTTGGAGAGTTATACAGTGACAGTGTGTGGAATTGAAATGTAATTATTTGGGATCTCCTTTAGGGCACAGAAGATTTCACAAATCAGTGAGCTTCAGTATCGGATTCTAACCATTCAGCTATTTGGAAAATGTACAGATTATTTATAATGCTATTTCTCTTTATTAACAGAATAATATGACCTACTTTATTTTGCTGCAGATGAATCCTGAAACATTTATTCAGATGTCTGCTATTAAACTGAATAATTTATCATTCATAACTTTAAAAACGCGTCACATTTTAAAAAGGTTTGGCTTTTTGACTGTTTAAAACCCTAAGATCATTCGGGGCATTAAAGGAGACTTTCTGAGGTTTCAGCATAGGTTGTGTATACTTACACAGCTTCAGCTCTGTATTTTATCCCTTTGTGTTCATACGTATTTTGTTTTTAGAAAGATGAAGCTCTGCACAATGGCATTCTTTGGAGATTAGTTTTTGGGTTTTAATAGAAATGATATGCTTTCCCAAAATCCCTGTTTAAAGATAACTTTCAATTTGAAGTTCTTAAAACTTCCAAGTTCCAGAAGTTCCAGATCGTTCTTACTTATTTATATCATTATTACTTTTGTTTCTGACATGGTGATATACAGTAATTTAGAATCCTTGCAAGAAAACAAGTTTCCCAAAATAGAACTGACAGCTTTTCACATGACCAGGTCACAAACATTAATGGAGTCTCTTGCTTTGATCAGGTATTTAATATGACCCAGCAGCACATACGTTGACCAAGAGGGTCATATTGTTTTAGCTCTTCATGCATAGCAGTTATAAAGTAGCGATTGTGTTCAACGCAAGAAGTGCATCACACTTACAGTAATTTAGTATGTATTTCAGTGTCGGAGCTGCTGAACATTATGGGGGTCTTATCAGTCACATATAATCAGGGCTTGCAGTATGGTAATTACTTACTACAACCTCCAACCCTCATTAATTCCGCTGCTAAGGTACTGAATGCTTAAGTGTCTTGCAGTTTATTTTAGTTTTTTACCCAGCTGATGAGCAGGGGTGGATAATTAGCATATCTTTGATGAGAGTTACATCTTCATTCACTTTATAGCATTGTTTGGCTACAGACAGCAAAGGATATTATTTCTGTAGATTCTTTTCAGCCATTAAGAAAAATCTGTAAAACACAGGAGAGCACTTTGCATTGAACCTACAAATCAAATTCTTCATTGTTGAGTCATCGTTTCTTTCCTGTTTCTCAATTTCCAATCTGCCTGTATTTTATGCAGCTCAGAAATATACTGTATATGGGAATCAGTTTATGCAGCCATGTTTGAGATGAATATTTTCTTGACTTGTTAGTCATAGTATATTAATCACTGTATGTTCAGTATTTCATGATAAAAGTCTCACAGACTTTCTAGAATCTAAAAAGTGCTAGACTCGAGGAATCAAATTCAATTGTTGGAGTCAAACTTTAAGGTTCTCAATAGGCCAGAGTATTCAAGACTACTAACTGGACAAATCGAATGTGTTAGTGCTTTCCTCATACTCTATTGGATTACACCTTCTCAAATTGATGAAAGCAATTCAGCTGAATAAATTCTTAGAGAAGTAGTGCTATTTCCAAATAATTAGTTATGCAATTCAGCCCTTAATCTGGAATGAAACTTTAAAAGGTCCTTGATGCCTGGAGACTGACTGAACAGCTGTGACAATCAAAAGTGGAAAAAACACTTTTTAATTAAATGTTGGCACAGAACAATCAAGGTTTCCTTCTTAATGTGCAATCTATGACTCAGTGACAGGAGACAATACTTGGTCTAAGTAGTTCCTGCTATTTCATTTCTATATTGTTGTGAACCTACAGTACACTGCACCCTTCCAGGTTCAATTCCGCATGCCTTCAAAAATATAAATCTTTTAAGAGTCCCAACCTTTATCAGTGCTTCATAATGAACTGCAGATGTGTTTCGTTTATGCTTAATGTTTTACAGCAGTTGTCTAATGTCTTTGTTGACGCTGGTGGCTTTGGTATGACAGGTTTTCTTGCTGCTTTGAGCAAGATTCAGATGTACAGAAACATGGCAGTGATGTTTGATCCTTTAAAGAGCAAAACTGCATAATGTGTCGGCAGGACATTTGTCGACAGACATGAAGGTCACACGCGAGACCCAGCCTCTTAATGGAACTCTTGAATCCGTGCACAGCTCTGCAGTGTTTTGGTCGTTTTGCTTTATGTGGCTGAAAGAGCAATCACCTGTGGGTAGAAAAGGTGATTATATCCATGTTTATAATGATGTTTTAAATCAGAAGGGCAGATGACCTGTAGAGTACCACAGGTGAAAATAATGCATCAAAACAGTGTGATTTACAGAACACAGTGAGGAGGATCACAAGCATTTCAAGATTTCTTGTTAAAACAGAAATAAAATTAAGTGAAGCCACCTCATTAATGTTTATATGTTTGTAAGCTGTCCCACATATATGAAAAACATGTATCAGGTGTGTTTGAAATGCCAGGGTCATGCTTCAGAGAGTTACTGGATTGTTAAGCAGAGAGCTGGGTATGGCCAAGCATCCTGAAATTCCCTTCAATGAGGAAGGCACTGGAGAAGAAACGAATTTAGGATGGAAAATTCTCACGCAATTCTTCAGAGCACTACACAATTATGTACCACAATGAGTCTTTTTCTTATGACTTGTCACTGGACAGCCCCTGCCATCCACTATTTCACCACCTCCAGCCTTAGTGCAGTCATCACTCCCTGGGCGTCTGGCTGGAGAGGAAGGCAGTGACAAGGCAGAAATATAGTCTGGGGCTCGGGGTTCGTTTGGAGCTCTGCAGTCCTTTAAATCCCCCTGCGCTTAAAAGCATGTCTCAATTAACATGGACTTGAAAGACCACAAATTGCTTTTGAAAATGACGAGTTTAAACAGCATCCGTTCCCTTGCCTCCCCAGCAGTGTTTCTTAAAACTTTAAAATCCTCCACGAAGAGGGGACATGCTACACTGCTTATGGCTTTTATCTTAGAATAGCAATTAATAATAATAGTGACGCTTTGTTTTGTGTTAGAGAGGCGCATGGGCTGGCTTCCTTTCAACAGAGCAAAGGACCAAACGCAATGAGGTTTCAAAGGATTTTGAAGAACAAAAGAACTGAAATCCAAGACTTGCAAACTCCTAATGGTTTCCATCGTCCTGTGCTTTCAATCAATGGAGATGATTGCTTGATGGAAACAGGCGGCAGTGCTGGGAGTCTCATTCATCGTAGTCCTTTATTCTTTACTGTCTTCAGAGTCACTAGTCATTTTTTTTCCTTCTTCGTATCTTGGACGATTGGGAATGACCAGATTTGAATTGGCTTGGCCCACCACACCAGCACTGGAGGAGCGAAGAGAGCATGCTTGAGTCTACCGAGATCAGGCATGGCCAGGCCATCTGCTCATGGCACTTACTGTCTATCAGAGCCAAGGCTCAGGAGGGGGAATCCATTCGAGCGAATGCAATCACAAGCGCCAGGCAGGCTCTCTGGGGTGCTGCTGCACTGCTATCCAAGAAGGCTCTTGGCAAATTCAAACCTGTTAACCCTTGGCAGTGGTCAGCCAGCAGTGACTTAGGGCCTACAGTAGGCAACCTGGTGCTCACAAGCATGGCAGTGGTCAAGTTCAATCCAGTGCTCTCTGCATGACAGGACCCAACCTGCACCCCGATCTTAAGGTTTTTTTTTAA